CATTCAAGCTCCCTCCTCCTCCTCCTCCTCCTCCTTATGTGTGATCCGTCGGCATGCGGGCAAGTCCACACGCTAAACCTTCAAAGATTAATTATATGAAAAAACAAATCCATTTTTTTGGTGGAGTCCACCAATAAAATAGAAGGATCGACTCAATTCCAAATCAAACACTTGAGTGTGAATTAGAATATCTGAAACATTTCCAAAAAAATATAAATAATCCTAATGTTGACCGATTTTTTCAACAACTTTGTTGTAAGTAAATTGCCTAAATTATGGATTTGGGCCAGTCGATTCGGGGGAGAAAGAAGTAGGCACAGGGACCGCCGATGGCATCGCCGGGGTGAGAGGTAGCGGTAAGCGGGGGGCGGGGTGGCTAGGCTGGCCAGTGAGCGCCGGGAGCCGTGGGTGACAAAGGTAGGCGGTTCAGCCGGTGGTCGCAGGCGGTTTGGGGGAAGAAGATGAGCATGCGAGAGTCGGAGGTTGAGGAAGGCCATCTTGCCGTTAACTTCACATCAAAAGGTTCCAAACAATCGATTGACCCAATTTGTGTTTTCAGTCACCTAACTCGGCCCTTAGCCCGCCCCATTTTATAACTAAGCGTTTCATCAGACGGAGATCATGTGGCACGATGGTGTGCATGGTTTTTGTATTCTCCCCGGTCCCCGTTTCCGTAGGCAGCATGCATCCACCCACCATATGGTACTCCATGCATGCATGATCCTGCAACTAACACCGCAGCCGGCCGCGCGCTTCCAGTCAATCAGCTCATCATTCGGCGTAATCGTTGGACGCATGCATCACATGCTAATTGACCCAGCCATATGAAGTGCATAGTTTGTTATAGTATTTGTGAAGCACCCGTGGCAGGTGACACCCGGGAAAAGTCATGGAATTTCTATGTCGAGCACCTACAGACACAGAGGCATGGGTACGAACCACGACAACTAACAAATACTAGCACGGATGACAAGTATTTCCGGACTAGCACGGACGTCAGAGGGGCGATCGACGGGATATATGTTCCTTGCGATCGCCGGCAAACATGCCGCGATCCGATGCCTGCCCAAGCAACCGGGCCGGCATTTTCAGTCACGGGGTGAGGCTTGGCGCGCACGATCGATCTCGCACCGACGCAGGTCACATCAATCAATCAGTCAGTCAGTCAATCAATTCGATCCCGTTTAAGTACTCGATATCTCACCATCGACCCCGCGACCGAACCAGAATGTTTGGTGGGCTCGTGCCCTTTGCTGCCGCCCGACGAGGCGACGAGCAGACCACGCCCTCTCCCACCAAGCATCCAGCAACTCGGCCTCATGACGGTCGTGGATCCATGGCGATCAGCCGCCCATCTCCCGCTGCTTCCGCCTGTCGATTCGTGTTTGGTCGACCACCAGAGGCAACGCACGCAACGCGTGAGAAGTAGCAAACAGAGCAACAATGGCACGCAACATTCACGGGAAATGTACGTACGTACGATGAGATCTTTACAGGATTAACGGAGGAGAGAACTGATTCAGACTCAGGTCATCAGGTGCCAGCCACATGCATGCACGCTCCTTGTCATCACGGCACTGAAAACCACGCACGCGACGCATGTTTTCATCGGATCGGACGGCAACAACTCCCGAGGGCGGGTGCGTGCATGGGGGAGTTTACGGACTGTAGTTAACGTGTCAGTGCGTGCGTACGTGCAGCTAGCTGCTCGCCCGGGCGCTGTGGCCGGCAGGGGAGACAGCAGGACGCTTCTGCTTCTGCTTCAGCATCTGCGTGGGGTCGCCGGCGAAGAGCTCCTCCCATACGTCGGCGAAGGCGCGGAGGATGAGGTGGTGGTAGCGCGCCGAGTTGAGCGACAGGAACCGCTGCAGCAGCTCCCGCAGCTCCGCGCCGCCCGTGATCCCGTTCTCCACCACCATCTCCGCCATGGACCGCCGGAACTCGCCCAGCGGGTCCTCCGTCTCCGTCACCACCGCCACGCTCTCCTCCTCCAGCCGCCCGCGCCCGCCTCCCCACGCGTCCCGCCGGTGCCGCGGCGGCCCCGCGCTGCACCGGCACGCCTGCGCCACGCCGTCCTCCTCCCGGGCGCGGACGCCCAGCGCGCGCACGCCGCGCTCCAGCTCGCGGAGCTGGCCCAGGAGCGCGTCCACGCTCGGCGCGCCCTCGGCGTCCTGGCAGGCCGGCGCCGTCGGCTTCGCTGCCGGGGCTGGCTTCGCCGTTGCTGCGGCGCTCGACGAAGACGACGACGACTTGGCCAGTGCCATCGTGGAGAGATTGTCTGCGACGACGGCCACCGACTTGGAGCCGCCGCAGCCAAAGATGAACCCACCCGCGCCGGCCTTCTTCCTCTTCTTGGGCTTGGCAGTCTCCACGCCGCCGCCGCGAGGTGTCGTCGCTTTCATGCCTTGATTCTCGAGCACAGTCAGTGTGCTGGCCGGGTACTTGGCTAGCGAGGAAGAGCTAAGGGAAGAAAAGGAACTAGTGCTCGGGCTTAAGAAGAGCCGGGTGGAGTGAAACCGAGCGCGCAGGAAGCTGCAGCAGCACTAGTGTCACACAATTCTTTTGTTGCGGGCACGTTGCACTCTAGTGGCGTGTGCAGAGTGCAGAGAGAGAGACACGCATATAGATCCAAGTAACTGGATTTCAATCGACTAAAAACTAGCAGTATCAGAGCACCAGCTGTTCGGTGGTCAGTGTCACTGTCTGGTAAGCCGACTGAATGCCACCAGCAGTAATAATTAGCACGAACCAGATGAAATGAAATGAAAGAAGAAAAAACGGTGTTTCCATCAGCGCACGGCATGCCTTGCATGGTTGCCGAAACGACGGTGAGACGCATGCAGGCTAGCGTACGCGTTCCGGACGATCGAGTCTCCAAAAACTAAAACTCAGCGCGCACTGGCTGCGCCCGCTTGCGTTTCCTTGCGGTGATGTCCACCTCCATGAGAGGGACGTACCGTAGCCGTAGGCTTGCATCCGCAAGACAACTACAGGTCCACGCAAGCAAGGCCCAGAAACGAAGCTAGTCTAGCGAGCTACGACCGGGAAACCAACGGCAAAGCTAGCGTCTCCTGATCCCGCGCTACCTGCAGCGGGCGGAACAGGGAGCAAGACGAGGGAAGCGCCAGCGGGCGAGGTGGCGGGAGATTTGGATCACGTACGATACGGGCCTGATTATACATAACCAATTTGATTTGTGGATCAGAGGAGAAGGGTCCTACTGTCGCTACAAACTAATACAGTACTACTACATCTACATGCCTTGGAAGAAACGCGGTGTGTGCTGGAACCGGACGCCACTTTGTTTGCTTGCTTGCTTGCTGTCCCATTCATTTCATCCGCATGTATGTGTCGATCCGTTGCGTCTCTCTCTCTCTCGTCGCTTCACTTCGGCATATATACCTCAACTTGCCATCGCACTACTCCTGGGGCCTCTTCTAGATTAAACGTACTCAAACTCTCAAAGCATGTGGCTAGTTCTACTAGTTAATTGAGCCGAGCTGCTCACATACATGAGACAGCAGGTGTGACAGATAAAAGGAAAAATCTAGCGAGAGAAAGGAAAAGGAGGGAGATCGATCGAGAACATGGTTGCTCTCCATTCGAGAGTGCTTCCGCCGGCCTGCATCTTTTGTGAGCCTGCCTTTTGACCCGGGCACAGGGATTGTATTCGATGAAACATCTACCGTGCCCTGCATCACAATCTGTCAGGGGAAAAAGTTGATAGGGAGATTGGAAACAAGACTAGTGGGCTGCTGCTGGTCGGTGCAATGCAGCAGTGGAGCGGAATCGGAAGTCTTTTTTTTGGAATGTTGGCAGGAGAGCTGCCAAATTCATTGATTAGAAAGGAGTATTACAAATAAAACCCCCAAAGGAGGAATGCATCGTATAAAGACGAGTGCCAAAAAAGAAAAAATGAAAAAAGAGGTTGCACGGTTTATTAAGGAAAACCGAGCGAAAACCTAAACAGTGCCTAGTTAAACTAGGCCTAAAGCACCACCAAACACACAAAACGCCAGAAGGCCAACACCCGACTACACGCCTGGCCGGGCACTCGAACGCCTATGCTGCTACCAAAGTACACACCGAGAACCGTCGTACTAGTCCGGGCTGCCACAAGCATATCCACAAACCTCGACGGCACCGGATAGGAACGATATGTCCGATAGAGCGAAACATATGCCGCCCCGATCCCACGAGCATTACAGACATAACTTGTCTTGCGCTCCTAGCATGTGGAGGGTGCTCATGCTGCTCACCACCATCAGCGAGTGACCAATCCCAAATGGATGCACCACCAAAGACTCCCCGCTCACCACAACGCTGCCTGCTCCTGATCAACCACCCCACCACTAACCCTGGTGCTCTCTCACAAGACTTGACTCCAACGCAATGCTCCCAACAGAGTAATGACGCCACAGACGCCACCATCACACACGGTTTTCACCGGAAGACAAGAACTAATCAAGAAAGGTGTCGGATCCCCTCAATGGCGCCTCCAACAAGGAAAACCACACCCAAAAAGCATCGTTCGCCATCAGCCCCGACCAATGTCGGGCATGACTTTCGTCCGGGGACACGAGCACGTACGCCAGGGAAGGCGTCCCCGACTCACCACCACCAGACCAGAGCCAGCACCTCTCACATGTAGATCACTGGCCAGGAGGAGCACCACCGATGGTGCAAGACTCAAAGCAAGGTTCGAAACCTGCACCAATGCAGACCACCATCCCGTCGGGAATCCCCACACATCCAGCTTGAAGATCAGTCACCAACCGAGCCTCCACCTGCACAAGCAGCAGACCGGCTGAAGAATAGCCAGATCCTTGCCTGGCACCACGCGCCGCGCCCCGAAGGTCGCCGGCACGTCACCCGGGAGATCCGCACCGGGGAAGCATCCCCCCTGCGCCAAGCAAACAGGGCCGCCAAAGCCCAGATCGGACCTGGCCCTGCTACCCACGCGCCCACCTCGCGCCGGCGCACACGCGCCCCTCCACGCCGCCCCGTCGGGGCCACAGCCTCCTCCGGCAGGCCGCCCTGGCCACTGCACCTGCCCTCTCCTCCGGCCGCTCTGGTGACCGTGCATGCCCTCTCCTCCGGCCGCCCATGGCCACAGCGCCGCCAGGAACGCAGCAGCCCCCAGATCTGCGCGGACTGACTCCCAGCAACCGCGCTAGCACCGCACGAACGCGGCTCCGCCCCAACGCCGCCAAGCACCATGGCCAGCAGCGCCCCAAGCCCGCTCTCCCGCCAGATCGAGCCGTCCCGCGCCGCTCTACCTGTGCGAGAGGAACCCGCGTCCCCGCCGCCGCCGACTCTGCACGGGCTTTGCCCGGCGGCGCTCACCGGCGGCGGCGAGGGGAGCAGGTGCGGAGGGAACTGCCCGGCGGCGGCTAGGGTTTTCTCTCCCGGGCCGCTCACGGGAGCGTTATCTGTTGGGTGGTGGCGCCCTGCTGAATCGGAAGTCTCAATCATGCCTCTGCATATTTTTCGACAAAGAGTGGATTTTATTAGCTCAAAATGGAGCATCAAGAAGATACATAACACAATGAGCACACACCCGGCCTCTGCATAGCTAGGATGTACACAGCCTACACCAGCTCACACACACACGAAAAAACACCGACAACAAGCAAAGTCATACAAGACCAAAGCTATATGAAGGCGAGAAAAAAAACCCCAAAGTGATCAGACTTGTGATCGGCAAACTACAACCATGACCATATCCGCACCAATAATCTCTTGACACCACATGGACAACGAGGTTCTTCAACAGCAACGCCTTCAGGAAGGGAGCGACACTCAGGCGCCCCCGTCATCGGATCCAACCACAAGGCCAAATCTAGGTTTTCACCCTGAAGAATCAGTCCGAGTCATCCAAGCAACGCCTTCAACAAGGTAACGACGTAAAAAACGTCGCCGTTGCCAGGTATAACCACTCGGGTCTGACCTAGGCTTTCGCCCTGGAGCTCAAGACTAGGTGCTCGAGTAGCACCATCATCGAAGTCGCTCATGTGTTGTCGTCGCCACTTTTCCGCGATCCCAGCAGCTACATGCGATGTGACCGCCATCACTACACAACCATTCCTCTGCGTCAAGCCGTCATATATAATTTGAATCTCACCGCCAAAGTCATCTACCAGATCAGGAGTAATGATCCTCCCGACCTTTCGATGATCATCGCCGTCGTGGAACCGTAGGAAGTCGCTGCAGTATTTGCAGTCACCGCCATCCGGCCGATCAGATCTGAATCACCACCACCAAGGAGTGGACCGTAGCGCCGCTGTCCGGCCACCGCCTGTGCGGAAGGCCAGCACCTCACCGCATCGCCCACATCCAGCAGAGAGCCATGCGTACACCAACATCCTGACGCCACATCTGATCGAATCTGGCTAGAGACGGACGCATTCGGAGGTCCTGCACACCACCCAACCCTCCCTGATGCATCTGAAGATGCACACAAGAAGCAGAGAAGGTGTCTTGTGTTGTGCCAGATCCGGGCCTGAGGCCGGCATGCACGTGGCCGCTGGATTTGACGCCCCGGTCCAGAGAGCCTCCAAGCGCCGGCAGCTGATCAGGCATGGCCGCGCTGCATTAGGCAGTAGCCGGGCGACTCGATGGAGCATCCACCCACGCTGGGATCTGGCCGGCGGCTGATGGGCAGAGATGGGTGGGGGTTGGAGGAGAGGCTAGATCTGGGAAGAGAGGGACCAGCGGGGGCGGCCCCGCCGCCGCCGTCCGCCGAGAGTCGGCCTCCTCCAGCGGCGGCGAGGGGATTGGATGGCTAGGTTGGGCTTGTTCGGTGGCAGCAGCGGCGCCTCCGAAGTCGCTCGGGAGCGACCCGGGAGGCGATGACCCAGTTTCCTGAACGTAGGTTTTCCTGAAAGCACTCGCCTTTCGGCATCTGCATATGCTTGTGTCTGCCTAG